ATTTTTTTTTTTTTTTAAGTAAAAAAAGAAACCTTAGCTAGTCAACAGTCCCAACTCTATCTGGAAAAATGAGATTTGTTCACAATGAGATCAAATAGACTTGTAAGTCTATCAAATAGGTTTCTAAGTTCCACATTTAAAAAAAGCAAAATGCTGATTTTTAGGAGATCATACAATACTTTTCTTTTAAAACTTTACTTTTTAAAAAAAATACTGATTGCAGTACTGATTAAAGAATACATGGAGAATTTAGTCAGAGAAAATCAAAATGTTTACCTTCGAAGGAAAAATGACATTTCAAAGGCAGGGTCTCAAGGTAATGGAACTATCTCATATGTCCTTATGTATTAATTCAATTACCAGGTGAAAAGACTAAGTTACAGAAAAATTATTTAATAATTATGACTTTATATAAATAATGACTATCTTTTCTTATATAAGGTCCCAGAGCATCTTCCTTTTTTTTTTTTTTTAATTTGCATGCCTCCTTGTAGAAAAAAAAGTAACTTTTGATTCAGCATAGGAAGACTATAAATAAGTCTTCTGGAGAAATGGTAGATTTTGTGGCTTACATTTAACCATGAATGAGCAAAGTATTAGGACAGATCTTTAAAAGTCTAAACCTGACGTTATGTCACAAGTTTTCATTTCTATATCTGGTACCATATGGATAAGGGCACTTGTGCAGAAAAACAAGAAATGTAAGAATGAATGGCATCTGAGTGGGTTTCTAAACCAGGGCTCAGCTAACTATAGCCTGCAGGCCAAATTCAGCCCATCTCCTATTTCTGTATGGCCCACAGCTAAGAATGGATTTTATATTTTTAAATGTTGAACAAAACAAAAAACTAAGAATTTGGGACACAGACCTGAGACCCATGTGGCCTGAAGTGCAAAATCTTTACTCTCTGGTCCTTCACAGAAAAAGATTCTAAACCAAACACTTCATTTTGCAGAGTAGACTCAAGAGTCTCCCTGACCTGCCCACATCACCCTGCTAATCACCAGCAGTGCAGGAGTAGATTACAGCTTTCCTGACTCCTGGCCCACCACTTTGGAGACACTAGCTTGTACTGGAAAGCGTGAATCTAGGTTGCATTTCTTGTTTTGCTTGAGGCTTAGTCACTTCGTGGGCTGTGCTTTAAAATCTATGATTTTTCAAGGAATCTTGACACTTCAACATTTTAAAAAATTTTTTTTTATTTTTCACTTATTTTTGAGAGAGCATAGCACAAGTGGGGAAGGGGCAAAGAGAGAGGGAGACACAGAACACGAAGCGGGCTCCAGGCTCTGAGCTGTTACTATAGAGCCCAACATGGAGCTCGAACTCACAAATCACGAGAACATGACCTGAGCTGAAGTAGGACACTTAACCGACTGAGCCACCCAGGAGCCCCTTGATCCTCCAACTTTTAAAACATCCCCATTTGGGGGGAAAAAATAATCCTTTATCTTTTCTTTCCTTTAGGATCAGTAGTTCAGATTAATCAAACAGGTCTAGTTGAGGAAGGAAAGTTCTTTACAAAAAGGATTCTAGCTAACAAAGGTAGGAGAAATGACTGAAGTAGAAAAATCACCCGGGCACCTGGGTGGCTCAGTCAGTTAAGCATCTGACTTCGGCTCCAGTCATGATCTCTTTTGGTTCATGAGTTCAAGCCCTGCATCGGGCTCTCTGCTGTTAGTGCAGAGCCTGCTCACGATCCTCTGTACTCCCCTCTGTCTGCCCCTCTCCTACTTATGCACATGTGCTCTCTGCCTCTCTCTGTCTCAAAAATAAATAAACATTAATGAAAAGAAAAAAGAAAAGAAAAGAAAATCACCATCTTGCAACAATCATAAATGAGTGAAACCATTAGGAGAAAAGTTGATGGGGAACTTCATAATGGAGGACCAGACTACATCACCAGAACCCACTGGTCAATTCTAGTGCCATTAAAAGTGAGTCAACCAGATGTAAATATGCTTGTGTTATACATAATGAATTTCAGGAAAGAGACCATTTTTTCTAAGAAGAAGGATTTGTTTTTCATTATACACTTTTTGCACTGTTTGAAGGCCTTACTCTGTGGACAATGTGCTCTTTGAATTAAAAGACCCTTTTTTGCTCTTCTCCACAAACTGAAATTTAGGGATAATTATAATAAATCAAGAGTCATGCAATATGGTTAAAAAGGCAGCAAACCAGGAACTACTGTGCTAGTCATTTTGTATCTCCAAATATGTTTTTTAATCTGTAAAATGAGAAAGCTTGATTAAATACATTCATCTAAGGCTTTTTCTAGTTCTAAAATTATGAGTCTATACCTCCTTTATTACAGAATACCACGTGGCTTCAACAACTTCCACTCATCTTAAAACCACTATAGTGCATTTTGGGATTTTTTCAGTTTGCTTCAGCAACAACAATCTAACATTTTAAGCTATTGTGTATTTTATCATACAGACATCCACATGCTTCCAATGCTGTATGCAGCCCAGTTACTACACTAGATCCTACTTCCATTTACTAGCTGATAAGTCAAGAGTGATGTAATATCTACCTGATGCCAGCAAATTCCACCTTCTGAGTGATATAGGCACATGTGCTGACCTAAGGGAAGACAGAAAGAGAAAGACTATGAGATTCAACAACACATCAAGGCCATAAAAGGTCACAAAGAAAGTTTCCTGCCTTTCTAATTTCTTCTAACAACCCAAGGTTCAATTAATGTGGGAGTAATAGATTTACCCCATAGGGAAACCTGCTGGGGCAGGTATAACAGTAGGTTCTTACGAGTGTGGCAAGTATAGACAACAGTAAGAATAAACGCCTAGCCTCGCTAATACACTTATCTTCACGCATGTTTGCATATATATCTAAATTTACATATTCATTTAATTACAGAACATTGATTTCTTATTTCAGCTCTCAATTTATAGAATGGAACTCTCTCCCATCCAATAAAAAAATGAGCATTTTTTTCTGAAAATATACACTGTATGAAAGAAAATTCTACCTACAATGCGTTGCTTCATAATACTCAAAATGCCTAATAAGAAGAATGTTCAGTACCAGCTCGCAATGAACTGATCATTTTAGGTGGAAAATGTTAATTCAAAATAAAGAAACCAAGAAAACAGGAGCAGGATGCGGCAAAAAGCAGTCTAACCTGGAAGCAACAAAATCTGGGTTCTAGCTTGGTGTCAACCACTGACTGGTTTTTTTGGCTTGGGTAATCACTTACCTTTTCAATCTGTTTTCACATCTATAAGCTAATAAATTTATATGGGTAATAAATACCTGTCCACAGGGAGGTGATGTGAACATCTGAAAGCTAAAGTTCCATTCAAATGTAAAACGATATTATAATTTACCATCCAAACAAAAAAATGTGAAGTAAAAATCTATAAACAAGCAAATCAAAGCTCAAAAAAACTACAAAAAGAGAATGGAAGAAGATACACAAAGAATTTACAATAATTATCTGTGATGCTGGAATTGGAAAGGATTTTATACTCTTCTCTCCACTAAATCTATCTCTGTGAGGAACATGGATTATTAATACAATGGGAAAAGTAAGAGACTTTTTTTTTAAAATCATATCTTACCAAACTTTTCTTTAATCGCCACATATCCCCTCGGCCAATATATTGATCCTTAAAGGTTAATTCCACTAGGTCAAGGGTCACATCCTAAAAGGGATAATCAAATATATCTCTCTGCATTACTCTGCCACACTTCATAGTCTTAAGATAATGCACACTAAGCATGAAGAACCCTTTTAGCAAGAAAAAACTACTGGAAGACCATCCAATAACAGAAACCTGACAAACAGAATTTCATCCTGCCAGGAAAGGCTTTTGAGCACAGATGATAAGTCTACAACAGATGCTACAGCAGCTGTATCATGATTAAGTGCAAAGAGTACCAAAGTAATAATTCTGTGTTTAGTCTCGACTCTGGCACATAAACAGGCCACTGAGCTCTGTGCTTTATTTCTTTAGAGAATGTCAATAGTATCTTATACACAATGATTTTTACCTATTATAACATCATTTCTCATTTCAGAAAAAAAAAAGAGAACACATACAAAAATTATAATATTTCAATAGAAAATTTTACTATTAGCTTCACAAGCAGACATATATATAGAATCTTTTTAGGACAAACTTTAACAAGAAAAGGTGAGGGCTTTTTTTTTTTAATTTTTTTAACCTTTGTTGATTTTTGAGACCGAGAGAGAGAGAGCGCATGAACAGGGGAGGTTCAGAGAGAGGGAGACACAGAATCTGAAACAGGCTCCAGGCTCTGAGCTGTCAGCACAGAGCCCAACGTGGGGCTCGAACTCACAGACTGTGAGATCATGACCTGAGCCGGAGTCGGACGCTAAACCGACTGAGCCACCCAGGCGCCCCGGGTGAGGGCTTTAAATGAAACCTACATAATACCTATAATCTAAATGACCTATATACAACCACATATTTAATAGTCCAACACTACACTTAAGCAACTCGTTATTACCTTAGAGACCTAACCTTTAGGAATGGTATTAATCATTCCCAAAAGATATTCAAGTCCAGAACCAAAACGTACCTTAGGGTCTACAACATTCACATAAACATCTTGATAAGGTCTTAGACGGAACACTTGAGTCACGGTCTGGTCCACGCTAATAGTTTCTGAAACAGAAGAAATCTGGATCAGATAACATATTCAAAAGAAGCAAGTTTCTAATCTATAAATACTCATTTGACATGCAACACAAATGATCCTTGGACATGGGCAAGAAATATTCTCTGCCTTCCAGCATGTAAAAGTTTTGAATTCTCTGCTTTTTAGGTGAAGCAAGCAGGTGAAATAAGACCTGAGCCTCTAGCAACTAAAATACGAGAAAGACAGAGGGGTGCCTGGGCCAGTTATGTGTCTGACTTCAGCTCAGGTCATGATCTCATGGTTTGTGGGATCAAGCCCCACACTGGGTTCTGTGCAAAAAAAAATAAAATAAAAAATAAAATAAAATAAAATAAAATAAGACAGAAATGGAGACAGAGGAAAATAACAAATTTAAGAAGCAACTTCAGAAAGTTCAAAGAACTGCTGAGGTGCCTGGGTGGCTCAGTTGGTTAAGTGTCCAACTTGGCTCAAGTCATGATCTCGCAGTTTGTGAGTTCAAGCGCCACATCAGGCTCTGTGCTGACAACTCGGAGCCTGGAGCCTGCTTCGGATTCTGTGTCTCCTTCTCTCTCTGCCCCTCCCCTGCTCACACTCTGTCTCTCTCTCTCTCTCAAAAATAAATAAAACATTAAAAAAAAAAAGTTCAAAGAACTATGAAAGTTCAGAAGAGGAAGGAGATCATTTCTCACTTGGAATGAAAGTAGAGAAGGTAGATAAGAGAGAAACAAACTTCTCAATGAGCCCATATATCTGGTAAATAAAAAACATAACAGGTGGCAGGAAATGGGATGGTGAGGGTAAGGAAGAAACTATTAGGATTTGGATTTTATAAAATATTTCCCCATCATATTGTATTGTAAAAGTAGTGGACATCACAATCCTTTAGAACACGTTATAATTTTTTTCTTTTAAGTACTATTTAAGGAATTACTTTATTTGCTATCAATTAACATTTTGGTTCTTTGATCCCCCATGGTAAGGGGATCAGATCCAGAATGAGAAAGTAGAATGGCGGCTCTGCCTCCTCCACTTACTGACTTTAGACAAGCTAATTCACCTCGCTGAGATTAAGTTTCCTCACTCAGTCAAGAGTTGTGTGGGAAGACAAAAAGAAAGAGACATTACAAAAAGCTCTCAGCACAGTGCCTTGCATTTGTGATAGGTAATGATCAATGTTTCTTTATCCTACTCACCCAGAGTAGGCACTTCACACACACCTTGTGAAAAAATATTTAGGAAAGCATGCTTTGCCAACAATTGTTTTGTTTTGTTTTGTTTTGTTTTGAGTTAAGCATAAAGCTTCACCTATGCAGGTTAACTTTCCCCCTGCCAAGAAAGATGGCTTCTTGGGGTGCCTGGCTGGCTCAGTCAGTAGAACATGCAGCTCTTGATCTTGGGATTGTGAGTTTGAACCCCACATTGAGTACTGAGATCACTTAAATAAATAAACCCTTAAAAAAAAAAAAAGATGATGATTCCTTCAGTGCCCTCAAGATGCTGACAAATGAGATTCCTTGGCAGTTTCAATATCTGACAATTTTTTTAAGGGAACACAATTTGATAAGGAAAGAAGTACGCTGCCCACATTCCCTGAGATTATGATGAGACATTTCTTTCAGTTTCTGAAACAGTTTCTCTAAGTACAAAAATCTTAAGAGAAGAGAGATGGAATTCTTACCTTTCTGTAAATCTTCCTTAAGTGATTTGACCTGCAAAAGCAGAGGGCTGGAGAAAAAAGCAACAAAGAGATGGGATGCTGTAAGCGGTAATTAACCAGCTTTCTTCACCCCCCAACAAAAGGCAAACAGATCCCTCTGGACATAATGTAACCTGCAGCACAAGGGGAGAAAGTTCTCTTAGAAACAAAGAAACTATGCACTTGCACTCAAGGAAACAGATAAATGCTACACAATTTTCAGAGCTCTCATTTCAGCTTTAAAAACAAAAGAATAGACTACTTTTTAAAAGATCATCGGTTTATCAAAGCCTTTTATGTAAAAGCTAAGAGCTGTCTTGCCCATCAAGCCCCTTAAACAAAATATTCCGTAACATCAGCCTGTCCAATTAGTTCCCTTGATCCTAATGAGAGGTTTACCTGTATTCATCATTGGGGTGAGCAATCTCCACAATGTCTCCAAGCTTGATGTGAGGAAACACTTTGGGGTTCATGACTAGCTCATCATCTGAAAGATAATTGGGCAATTTCAAATAGAAAAGAGACTCATGTGGGCAACCAGTTATGGTATACGTTCTCAGGTTGGGTCATCATAACCTCATACAGGGACACAAAGCTAGTGAGTAGATGAGTGGGTCAACTTTCAGGGACCTTTGTCCTCAGAGATCATGTTCTTTCTACTACCGCCCCAACAATCCCAGGGAAAAAGCAGTCCTTGCTCTCTGGAAATTAAACCTCTGGGACACCTTACTCCCTTGAATTATCACATACCTGGCATACACCGGGAACACACTGTCTGGGTCCCACAGATACAGCACAATCCTTTACATTTATATAGTGTTCAAAGAATTTCCAAAAATACTGTCTTAATGTGATCCTCATAATAAATCTTCGGATGTAACAGAAGTGAAGAAATGATGTAGGTGATACAGGCCTAAGGGTAAACAGCTGATAACAGCACAACCAAGACTGACTACTAGTCCAGGGTTCCTTTTGCCTAAAGCCTACCACCTCTCATGTCATTAAAAAGAAAAAGAAAAAGAAAAAAACAAGCCAAATAAAATGCCTTAGATTTTAGGAGGCAGCACTTGATCAGGGAGAAACTTTGGATACCAGTTCACATTAGGGTCCAATGAGACTCTTAAAATAGAAGGAAGACATAATTTCATATGTTTATCTCCCCCACCTTCACTGGGAGTGGGGAGAACTCTTTCTTATATAACAAACTCAGAACCATAAAGACAGAGTGATTTTTTTTTTCTGGTTTAATTTTGAGAGAAAGATGTGGTCTTTAATTATGCTAAAATCCATGACAAATAAGTATATCTAAATTTCAAATATAATCAAAACCAACAAAAATTCAACCTAGGATGGCAAAGCACTGGGTTAATACCAAATTTTATTTGGTACATTGCTTCCATTGAAAGTTTTATGCCAAGGGGCGCCTGGGTGGCGCAGTCGGTTAAGCGTCCGACTTCAGCCAGGTCACGATCTCGCGGTCCGTGGGTTCGAGCCCCGCGTCGGGCTCTGGGCTGATGGCTCAGAGCCTGGAGCCTGTTTCCGATTCTGTGTCTCCCTCTCTCTCTGCCCCTCCCCCATTCATGCTGTGTCTCTCTCTGTCCCAAAAATAAATAAATGTTGAAAAAAAAAATTTAAAAAAAAAATTAAAAAAAAAAAAAGAAAGTTTTATGCCAAATCCTCTGTGATGCCTTCCCCTAACTTCCATAGTCTGAATTAAACTCCCTGAGCACTGAGCACAAATTCCACTCTGTTTCATTTTATCTTTTTTTTTTTTTTTTTTTTTTTTTTTTTTGCATATCTGTCGCATCAAGCTGAAAGCTCCTTAAGGACAAGGGACCTTATCATATTCGCAACCTTTATGTTTAGCATAGATATGCAGCTAAGTTTGTTGGATGTGTTTCTAATCATAGTCCTGAAGGAGACTGGGTATAGCACCTAGCTATAGTAAACTATACATTGTATAGTAGACTTGCATACATTGTATATACACTGTATATACTATAGCCTTGCATCCTTCCCTCTGACAAGTTATTTCTGTTGTCTATTCAATTCTATTCCACAAATGTTTAGGCAGCATCTATCATTAATAGACATTAATACAAAGTCTAATATTAACAAAGGTCTGCATTTTAGCAGAAATTGTAGTTTTTTTAAATATCTATTTTTGAGACAAAGAGAGTACAAGCTGGGGAAGCACAGAGACAGAGGGACAGACAAAATCCCAAGCAGGCTCCGTGCTGTTAGCACAGACCCGACAGAGGCTCGCTCTCACAGATCATGAGATCATGACCTGAGCTGAAATCAAGAGTCAGACACTAAACCGACTGAGCCACTCAGGTGCCCCAAAAATTGTATTTTAAATATAGCAACTGCCTGGTATATATTGTCCTGGTAATTATAATGGTTCCATTTACTGAGTGGCCCTGAGCATGGTACTCTGCTAAATACATACATCATCTTACTCAATCTCCACAAACTTTATGATATAGAAACTAGTGTTTTCCCTTTTGGGTAGTCCTTGCCCTTGGGAGACTTACACATACGTAAGAGCAAATACACAGTAAAACATAATTTTTAAATGACTCATTGTATTGTTAATTCCAATTTCTGAAGCAAATAAGGTTGTTAGGACAGAAAGGAAAATTATTTCTTTACAAAAAGAAAAAGATCGTATTACTAATTGCCATCCTATTCTGCATATTTATAGACTCAAGGTGTTAAGAGAAACAGAGAAACTGTTCTAATGTGCTTGAGGCTGTAAGTAAGATAAACTAGGGGCTTGCCTGAGGTCACAGGGAAAGTTAGAGGCAGAGCTGAAAAATCTCGTTTAGCACAGAACAATATGCTGTGTCCTGCTCCTTCTTACTATGCCTGGAAACCAGGCAAAGGTTCACGCTTTGATCATACCTGTCTAATGTATATTTACTACTGCTCTCAATGAATGTAAGTTTTTCTTATCTGCCAAACCAGTGCAGACTAGGATTTTATAGAACGTATATAGTAAATACATAATATAAAATACAAATAAGTGGAAGGTAGTAAACTGGCAACATTCACATTGTTCCTTAAAAATCAGAACACAAGTGCTTTTAGAAGGGGCCTGTGCTCTCGCATGCTACTGCCCTCCCTGCTACTGTATTACACTTGCTGCTTCGCTCAGTTAAGTCACCTCCAGCCTCTATTGTCATGAGTCAGTGTGTCATTTTTGAAGCACTGGACACACTAGAACCTCAGCCAACTTACGCAACCCCCCAAAACGGATCAATACTGACCACTGCCCCCAAAGCCCTTCTTGTGGATGACGAGTTTGTAGACCTTTGTTGTTCTCATCTTGTACTGTTGTTTCCTTCAGCTGTTCCAAGCTTGGGGGAGAGAAGTCATCTTGCCTCCCTGCCACTGAAACACAAAAAGGCTGGGATGTCAGATTTTTCCTTGCAACTGCTCTTTGGTTTTAGGCCAGTGAATATACCAGTACTGTTCAGATGAGTGGCAGCACCAACTCTTGGATGAAATCACTCCTCCAATTACGAGGAGGGTTGGAGGACCAAAAACAAAACAAAAAAAAAAACAAAAAACAGAAAACACCACAAAATCTGGGAACTAAGGGGAATTCAGGCCAGGGTGGATTCTAACTTCCAAGAATATATTCTATCACACCCTGAAGGGAAACCTTGTAGTGAATTGGGCACTCACTACCTTGTCTCTCTATCTAAAACAATAACACCCAAATATTAAAGAGATCTTGAAAGAGGTTTAGCGCATTCATTTTGTAGATGAGGAAAGTGAGGGCCAGAGCAAGGGACTTGCCCAAGGTCACTCAGACACTGAGACACTCCCACCGTCCACGTTCCGCGGTCAATCTCCTGGGCAAGGAGAGTATAAACAGGAGGAAGGCAGGAGCTCGTTCTCCGAACGTCCATCTGTACACACTCTCGGCGGTTCCTCCTCCCCAACCCTCATTTCACAGCAGCGGTCACTGAAGCTCAGAGAGGGATGGAGACTTGTCTAAGATCACACAGCGGGCTGGGGAGTAGGACCTGGACTCGAACCTGGGTCACGGCCCCCTCCCTCAGGCTCCACAAACCCGGGCCCGGCGAGTAGCCCCACTCACCCGCAGCTCCGGAGCCCCTTCCCCCTTCAGGCCGGGACTCCGAGGCCCCAACCCTCCCGAGGTCCCCTGCGTCTCCTCGGGACGCCCCGCCTACGGCCCCACAGCCCTTGCGGCTTCCGTGCCGGACCTCGAGGAGCCTGCCTGCCCGCCCCAGCCACAGAGCGCTCACCTGAGAACCCGCGCAGCTCCGGTGGCTCCGCCCCGGGGCCCCGCCCCCTTCCCGCCCACCTGCCCCCGGCCTCTCTGGCCGGGCCTCCTCCTCATCTCGGTGTCCGCGCCACTTCCCCATCCGGGGCTCTCGCCAGGGGCGGGGCGTCGTGTGCGGCCTCTAACTCCGGCGGCCTCCTGCGTTTCCCGCCCGGTGACCCGACCGCAGCCAGCCTTAGAAAGCAAATCCTTTTATTCCCAGACATTATCACATAGATCCGTACCGGGAGCTTCGTTTCCGATTCAGTCCCTCAACAGGGCAAACTCAGGCGAGTCTCCCCGGATCCATTAACTGTGTTAATGGACCTTCGCCTGGCCTCACCGGGCTAGTGAGAAGCACAAAATAGTTTCCTGGAGAACTTTTGTAAAATGCAAAAGCTGAGCACTCGCAATTTAATGCGATGGACAGTGCTGGGAAGTATTCATTTGGGTGCCCTTTTCAAGTCCCTCCAAACCCCAAACGATATTCTGTACCTCTCTGGTTGTTAATAGCTACAATAGCTTTCACAGACGCCCTTATGAAATGGTCACGTCCCTATTAGGTGGCTGATAATCTCACAGACAGGTGAACAGGGGACACTAAACTCCTCGGAAAGAAGCTCTTGACCCCATCAAGTCCAGCTTGGCTCTGAAGGCTGAGCGTTTAACCAGCATCCTTGTTACACGCCAGAGCTCAGTCTAAGCCCCTGTCAGGACATCTTTCTGTTAAGAAAATCAGAACTGCCTCCGCTGTGCCTGAAACTCTCCCAAGAGCTCCTGACAAGTTGCCATCTCCATCTAATTGACTTACGGCTTTTGGAAATTTTCTGAATGTTTAAAGAAAAAAGCGTCACATACCACAAAGGAGTGGGGAGAAGAGGCTCTGGCAAGACAAGAGTTTCCTTAAACATCCATATTTACTTTAGGGTTCAGAAGTTGAAGGACTATAAAATAATTGTAATTGTTTATATTAAAACATGAAGTCAAGTGTACTGCAACAGTTGCAAAAAGACTTTCAGGGATAAAATGTTAAATATAAATAACATTTTAATGTTGCTAATTCAGGGGACCTGCTCAGATCTCCACAGACTTTTATCTGCAGCAGTGGCTGGTAGGAAATTCTTCCATCCCAGAGGGACTAATGGGATTCTCTCTCCCTGGCCTTCAAGGAAATTTGATTTCTGTCTTCTGAGAGATGTCCATGACTGGTGTTTTATCTTAGAAATGCAAATATTTCACTTTTTAACTTGGCAAAAATTAGTAAAAATCTTTGACAGGTTTTGAGCTTTTTAAAAATTGTCAAAGTCTGGTCAAGGTTAGGGGAGGCTGGAGCAGTTAGCTCCTGTACTGGGGATCTAGTCCAGGGGATCCTTGGTTCTAAGATCACTATGTTACAACCAGCTGCACAATAGCCTGTTTTTGGCAGTGTGACTGCACCAGATCCTTCTCTTTTCTCAATTTTCTCCCTTGTCAGATGGGAATAAAAAGTACATGTATATCCTTGTTCACAAGGTGTTTGAGGGTCAAATGAAATAAGGAACGTGTTACATTAGGTCATTGAAATTAAAAGAATTTAAAATGCTATGTATAAATGTAGAACATTGTATATATGTGTATTTTAATGTTTTTGTTTATTTTTGAAGGAGAGAGAGACAGAGTGTGAGTTGGGGAGGGACAGAGAGAGAGGGAGACACAATCCGAAGCAGGCTCCAGGCTCTGAGCTGTCAGCACAGAGCCGGAAGCAGGGTTCGAACTCACAAACTGTGAGATCATGACCTGAGTCGAAGTCAGACATGCAACTGACTGAGACACCCAGGTGCCCCTAGAGTATTATATTTTTTAATGTATTTTTTGTTTGTTTTTCTTGGGGAGGAGAGAGACCAAGCACTAA